GGGGTGGGAATGGGCAATTGGCGGCGGGGTTGTCGCCGCTCCTACAGAAGACGGTGAGCAAGGGTCTCCCGTCGGACGAGCGGGTGCGTGTCTTCGACGGCTTTGTTGCGAGCCTCAACTACGAGCGGCGCATCCCCAACTGGGTGTTGGAGTACTTTCCCAGCACGGCTGCTGCGGCCGCTCCAACAAGGGAGGAAAGTGACGAGGAATCGACGACAGTGCGGCGCGAGGGAATGAAGTTCTTCGCGGACCCCACCGTTCCGGAGGCATTTCGGGTACTGCCGGATGATTACAGCGGAAGTGGTCGTCATCGGCAGCAGGAACACACGCGTGGACTGAGCCGTGGCCACCTCGCCGCGGCGCAGTTCCACAAGCATGCGGCGGATGAAATGGCGCAAACCTTTAACATGAACGCCAACATCGTGCCGCAGGACATGACGATGAACGCGGTCGACTGGCTGCGGCTGGAGAACCTCACAAAGCGGCTGCGGCGCCGCTACGAGGGTGGTCTGTGGGTTGTGACGGGCCCCGTCTTCCACCCGCGCCACATTCGTGGCAACCCGCGCTCGTGGGGATGGACGGCGCCGCGCAGCTCCGCTGCTGCCACAGTGGCGCCAGTTCGCCCACTGGACGACGGCAGCAGTGCAGAGGCGAAGCAGGCACGCAAGGTGGTGTGTTACGAACTCGTCGGCAAGCACGACGTGGCGGTGCCGACGCATCTGTTCAAGGTCGTGCTGGGCGAGCGGGCTGACGGCAGTCGGGAGGCCGCTGCGTTCTTGATGCCCAACGAGCCCATTGCAGAGGAGCGGTCACTCACGGCTTACCAAGTACCGGTGGGTGAAGTTGAGCGCATGACGGGGCTACAGTTCTTCCCCAATGTGGCCGCTGCAGGGAGTGGCAGCAGAGCCTTTGCGCAGGGCCTGGACGCGCTTCCGAATATTTGCAAGCGCTTCTCGTGTGAGGTGCACACGGCGGCGTTGTTTCAGTCGTACCGGAGCGTCGCGCAGCTTCGGGCGGCGCAGTCGGTACCGGAGCTGCAGCAGGTCTACACAGCGTTGGTGAATGAGCGGCAGTGGCAACAGCGCTCTGGTGGACGGGACGCAAAGCTTGATGCCGTTGTAATGAAGGAGTACGAGGAGCGCATGAAAGAACTGGTTGAAGCAGCTGTGGCGGAAGACGGCTGATGGAAACGGGCACAGACGGGCGTGTACAGCTCACTGAGTACGTATTCCTTTGTTTGTGTGTGTGTGTGTGTGTGTGTGTGTGTGNGTGTACAGCTCACTGAGTACGTATTCCTTTGTTTGTGTGTGTGTGTGTGTGTGTGTGTGTGTGTAGGTATGTGTGTTTGTGTTTGTTCTGTGGGGTTATTCTTCCTTCCCGCACTCATTCCTTCTTTCTAGCCTGCACATACGGAGTGCAGGGGTGGTATCACGCCTGCCATCGATATTCGCAAACGAAGATACATAGGGTGGCGGTATCGTTGTGCCGGCTCACTAACGCGGAAGGGGCAAGAAGGAAATGGTCTCGGCAGCGCGCGTGCAGTCAACTGCAACGAGGCGGAGTTTCTGGCACCTCGTTGGTGTCGGCCTGGTGTGCGTGGGCGCGACCGGCGGTGGTGGGGCGCTGCTGTACTACCGCTGCGTGTGGCTCCGCGAGCATCAGCGTGCTCTGCAGCTGTCGAGCATGCGGCCGCCACTGCGCCGCACTCGGCCATACGTTGCGGGCAGTGGCGATGCCGGGGGCGTTGAGGTGAGGCAGAAAAGTCTGCCTGGCGTTGTTTTCTACGGTCTGGTCACGGTGCGCTTGCTGCTGCTGATTGTGTGTGTGGTGCCGGTGATGTGGTACGCGTTCCTCACATACGGTCTCGGGCTGTGCTCGGAGCAGGTGCTCTTTGCGAAGCTGCGCGATGCGCTGACGGCTATGGGGCCGAGTTACATCAAGTTCGGGCAGTGGATGGCGACGCGGCCGGACTTTTTCCCGCCCGCGCTCTGTGCCTCGCTCGAGAAGTTGTACGACAACACCGAGCCGCACCGATGGGCACACACTGAGAAGCTGCTGCGCCGCACCTTCTGTGAAGCCGCCGCACCTGACGCGAAGGTGACGAAGAATGCCACCAAAACAATAACAGAAGCAGATGGAGACGGAGAAGGTGGTGGGGGAGAAGCAGCGGCGGCAGGAATAGGCGAAGCACAAGGGGCGATGGAGTCACACCACAACGGGCTGTATTATCTGCGCGAAATCGAAACAGTGCCTGTCAACAGTGGCAGCATTGCGCAGGTACACCGCGGTGTGTTGCGTGAGGAGGTGGACGGTATTCCTGCGGGCACGGAGGTTGCCATTAAAGTCACGCACCCGTACATCCGTGAGTGCATCTCCGCCGACGTCGTGGTGATGCGCATATTCGTGGGCCTCCTCACCTTCTTTGTGCCCGGCGCGGCATACTTCGACTTGCACCGCAGCCTGCGCGAGTTCTCATCCTTGATTAGCTCACAGCTGGATTTGCGCCAGGAGTGCGACAACTTGCAGCAGTTTATCTACAACTTCCGTGACCTCCCTGGTGTTATATTCCCTAAGCCTCTCCCCTCTCTGTGCAACGAGGATGTCTTGATTGAGACATTCGAGGAGGGCCAACCGCTGCAAGAGCTTCAGAGCGGCGCTGACCACCGCGATGTGGCGGAGCGCGGCTGCCACATGTTCATCAAGATGCTATTCGAGGATAACTTTGTGCACTCCGACCTGCACCCCGGCAATCTGCTGCTGCGCACGAACCCCGGCGCGCCGCTCTACGCGATATCCCCCTCCTCCGCTGCTGCTGCTTCTGCTGCTGGCGCCTACCCGGATGGGAAGGTGAAGCTGCGGCACGAGCTTGTTGTGCTCGACCCTGGCCTCGTGACGATGCTGTCGAAGGAGGAGCGCAACAACTTCATCGCTCTCTTTGCCGCGGTGGCGTGCGGTGACGGCGATCTCGGCGCCGATCTGATGCTCGACCGCATGCCTGAGGCGTCGCCCAGTCGGCGGCGCGACGTGAGCCGCGAGAAGTTCCACGCGGACATGCGGGATATCTTCAACCTCGTCGCGCCGGGCAACTCGGAGGGGTTCAAGCTGAGCAACATCCGGATCGGCCCGGTGCTCGGGAAGATCATGAACACCCTGCGTGAGAACCAGGTGACGATTGACGGCAACTTCGCGTCGCTCGTGTTGACAGTGATTGTCGGCGAGGGGCTCGGCAGAAAGCTGACGCCGGACTTCAACATATTCGCGGAGGCCGCGCCGTACCTGATGGCGCTGCTCGAGGATAGCGAGCTGCGCTTTCTCGCGTGGAAGCTGCGGGATACCTACGGTACAACGGCGCTGCTGCGGGATTCGGTGCACTTTGTGAAGCTCGAGCGCACTGCGACGTACGCAGAGATGGGGATGAAGAAAGCGGCCAAAACGCTGGGCCGCGTGCGACGCGTGCTGCTCGGCGAAACAGCAGCAGATGTGAGTGTAAGGGAAGATGAGTACGAAGGAGATGCAGCAGCACCAACATTGGGCACTAGTTCCCCCTGAATGAGGTCATATCCGAAGAGGAAGAAAGAGAGAGAGTGAAGGGGAGATCTGCCTTTGTGTGTACGTGAAATTGTGTGGAAATGGGTATATATATATATATATAT